CACTTACCACGGACTCTATGATAAATAGGTTACATACGAAGAAGATTCGAACACTTAACACGGACTCTATGATAGATAGGTTACATACGAAGAAGATTCGAACACTTACCACGGGCTCTATAATAGATAGGTTACGTACGAAGAAGATTCGAACACTTACCACGGACTCTATGATAGATAGGTTACATACGAAGAAGATTCGACCACTTACCACGGAAGTATGTAACCTATCTATCATAGAGCCCGTGGTAAGTGTTCGAATCTTCTTCGTATGTAACCTATCTATCATAGAGGAAGAAGATTCGAACACTTACCACGGGCTCTAGGTAGTGTTTACACAAAACTATTCGAACAGCGTCAAAAATATTCCATATAACTCCACATTTTCCGACCGAAAAATTAACCTATTACAAAAAAAAGAAAGTAGTATTAATCAATGAGAAGTTGAAAACAGGTGTTTATGTAATTGATAGGTAAAGGTGTTTATGTCATAATGAGGTAATATATTATGTTAAAATATTTAAAACTGGATAAGAATGTTCAGGCCATAGCGTGACAATATATATATATATATATAATGCTAAAATAATTAAAACTGAATGAAAGTATTAATGTCATACGGCGATAGTATGTAATATATGAAACTGAGTGAAAGTATTCTGATTTTAGTGTAGCAGTAAATAAATTAGCATATTAAAAACGCAATAAGAATGATTATATCATGTTAAATTATTCATAACTGAATAAAAGTATTCAGATCTTAGGGTGATAGTATGTAGTTTTAATATTTTTTTAAACGTGAATGACAGTGGTCAATTCTTAACACGTTGGCTGCCATGTGACACATTGCTAGGTCACATGGCGCTATTAGTAATGATTCATACATCATAATATTACAAATACAAAGTTTTTTTGTGGCATTTAACTCAATTATATTGTAATTGCTTCTTGGCACCAGAACGTGAATTAATATATCATAAGGCGGCAGCCAACATGGTGAAATAATAATATATTACGTTAAAATATTTAAAACTGAATGAACGTGACAGCGTATAAAGTTGCAATTCATAAAACTGAATGAAAATATTTAGGTGTTAGTGTGAAAATATATGTTATAAAAAACATGTTACTTGGAATCTCACTAACAACGAAAGAGTCCAGATGTAAATTGACTACGTGATAGGAACGTTTGCATAACATGAAATTCATCTCCATAACCTAACGAAGAGGCCATAACCATGTGGCAGTAAGCCATTTAAAGTATACTTAGGGAAGTAAGGAGCGGTTTATGAAGTTTTACATCACAAATTTAACATACTGTATTTTATTCTAAAGCCAACGATAATCAATGATGATAAGAACGACTGACGCAAGAGCACGATGACTATTTTCAATAACCACATGCGATTTGAATAAAGCAGGTGATTTCTTCTAAAGTGTAACTTGCACTGAGAAAAAGAGTTTGGTCAAACTGATGTACGAGATCTGCTCTTATCCTTAGATAATCTCAAAGAGTTTGGTGAAGTTGAAGTCTGGTCAGTCCTCGCTCTGGTACAAAACAGTAATATATACATATGAACAAAACAGACTATTTGTTTCTTTTATAATTTTCAAGAAAAGCTACACAAAGGGATATCTGCGCTAGTTTTAACTGAAAGACTAGAGGGAAGGCAGCTTTAGTCAACCCACAGCATTTAATGCAAATTCTTGAGATGCTCTTGTCTAAGCCTAATGGTGGGATTTGACCGTCATTTGTAAAGGCGCCCAATGCCCAACGTATGAAATGCATTTTTTTGGCAACGGACTGAAAACCATGAACCTTCGAACTCTGTAAAGTTTACTGCGTTTGTCCTTTAACTGCGTATCAGAAAGTTTTGTATCTGTTAAGTATCATCTACTGGAATGCACCAAAGGTTAGGAAGATTAGCGACTGATTTTTCTTATTCTAAACTTAACGTGCTGATGACTATTGTGTATTCACTTTTTCAATGTTTTTTGTTTTGTTTTTGGATATTCTTGTAAAGCTAATCAAAGGGCCATCTGTGCTAGCTGTTCCTAATTTTGAAATGATAACCTAGAGGAAGACCGATAGTCAACAGACACTCTTGTCTGACAAAATTGTGGAATTTGACTGTCACCCTTGTAACACACCCACTACGATAAAGTGCAAGATGCGTTTTTTGTTTTGTTTTTTCGTATCGGAACGCGAATGCTAGAACCACAGATCTACATTCTGGCACGCTAGCTACTGAGCCACAATCTGTGCCCGTCAGGCAGAATTGGCATTTTACTGTAAAGCATACAGCTAGAACATAACAATGCTGTTGCCTAGAGATGCGCTGTTGCGCAGAAAATTTGTTGTTTGGAATGTCATAAATCATAAGTTTCGCAGTTTTTTCTGACAACAGTAAATTTGTTGTTAACCGCCGCAGTTCGGGTTAACGTGTTTTAGTGCATGTATGGTATCAATATACCGATTCCGTAACAAGTGCGACACTCTGCGCAAAGTAAGAGAACCCTGGCGTTGAGACTTTATGACCCAGCACCACATCCCCACAGCGAAGCCAGATGTAAGGCGAGTGTTGTTTCTCGGTTTAAGACTACTTTATCTGTGTTTCAAGGCAAGGAAAGTGTCGTTTTGCTAGTGAACAACTTTTCGTACAATGAGTCGTCCGTTTGGAAAATGTAAGCGTTTACATAGTTCTCTACATTACGCGCTGCTTGTGACTGAGCTATTAGTATAATTTATTTATTTAAAAAAATGTAAAACGTAACCGTGTAGAATATCTAGAGTGGCGGAAAAGTGGGGATGGAGGAGTGGGTGGCACAGTTAGAGTTTGCACATGGAGGCAAAACACGTCTCGCCGACCCTCTCTATATATTAATTAGTAAAATTTATCTAGCCTAATTTTCTGACCAATTTTCAAACATAGGCAAAGGACGCTTCCTCACAACTGCAAAATTTGAAACGCTTTCTGGTGCAAAAATGACCTTATTTTGGGATTACAGTATAGAACAGTTAGGTTTTCTTGATCAATCGGCGCTTTTCGGTTTGATGAACTGTTAAATTTATATTTTAGTAACCGTTATTCAAAATACAGTTTCATGCGCTGAATCCATATATATATATATATATTTATTTGTAGAAATGAGAAGAAAGTACTGAAATTAACATTTGAGTAGGAAATATCATACATAACTTTCTTAAACAGATCTTAATTTCGGTTTCTATGACGTCAAATGATTTCACACAGATAAAAGTCTACCATTTCTATCAAATAATTGTTGTAGTCCACCACAGTACATCCATTTATGTGAAGTTCATCTTTGCTAAATTTGATGCTGGTGTGTTCTGTGGACCAACAATATATAAACATAATTATATTTTTCAGAGGGAGTGTTGTTCCTTCTAACCGGTTCGCTTCCTCATTGAATGTGATTCGTTACAGGAGCTTTCTTGACATCTCCATATAGTTCGGTCAAGAAGAAATTTGATGTTCACTTGGTGTTTGGTGCGACACTTCTTTTTTTCGTGGATAATTTTAAAGAATTGCAAAAAATTTACCAATTGTTCTTCGAACTGTAAGTTTGTCCATAACCATTGTAAATTAATTTCCATTTTTATGTGTAAAAACCTGTAAAGAACAATAATAAGTTGAATCGTCCTTTTCAGTACTTTCTCATCACTTCTCCAAAGAAATACATACAATTTTGAATTCAGCGCATGAAATAGTATTAGAATAACGTTTATTAAAATAACAATTTAACAGTTCATCAAACCGAAAAGCGCCGATCAATCTATTGCTGTCTAAAAAAAAAAAATATTTTTTTGAACATGATTGAAAAATATACTCAGTTTAGATTACCGCAGTCAGTGTTGAGTTCACGTACTGGCTTCCTTTATCCAAAAGTTTACGTATGAATCTCCTCGTTTCCTTAAAGAAAACAAATAACAGGTGAAACTTTTCATTGATGACTAAAGCTTTATAACAATAAAATACTGACAACTAAGTAATAAATCTTAATACTGCCAACAAAATCTTAATAAAACTTAGAAAACTATTAGCCAAATCTCAACTACATTTTAACAAAGTAAACTAATTATTAATAACACCGAAAACTTCCAACATATTTCATTATAAATTATACCAATATTTCATAATTTGATTCTAATGTACTTTAATCAATAGCTTCTGAATGACTATAAAAGAAGAGTTATAAAAAGATTCACAAACATGACACTCATAATTTCTCGTAAGTTTGGTTGATTGACTGGTAATATTCATTCACTATATTTTGTCAAATTTTCTTAGAAAATTGTTGTTGGATTTGACGTGAAAATACTAAATAACATCAATATTACTTCCTTATCAATAGCGTTTACACTTAGATTAGGATGGCAAAGCAGTATACAAGAAATGTGTAATAATAAACGTTCTTTGTTGGGCCAAATATATACTCAAAATTCAGCTAAAGCTAAAAAATTGAAAGCAAATTATTCATGACTACTTATTAGGGCACATAACAAAACCAAAACGTAGTATATATAAGAAACACTCCTTATTTTCAAAACCACAGTATTATAAGAGCAATTGGACATTCTTTAAGATAAGGGCGCTAAAGCGTTTCGTGTAGGTTGAAGTGAACTGTTTCCACAATAAAACAAAAAGAAAATCTAGTATTTCCTGAGTGGTTCACAGAAACCTTCCGTTAACTGTTTAAAAGTACAAAATATATCATTAGTAAACCATGGGACACAAGGGTATATATATAAAGACACGAAATAAGTCAGTATTAGTTCCTGTATTCCACGATTTATCCCCAAACTTTAAAATGCAGTGTACTCAACATATGAAGATTAATTGACAACTACAAATGTTTCGTAAAACAAGGTACTGCACATACTCTCTAAATACTGTACAAGAGAACAACTGAGAAGGTGCGGTCCTCAACCGTTAGCAACTATGGAATGCAGTAGTAGTAAAACATGGTGGATTTTTTGTGTGTGTATATATATATATATATATATATATAATAGTAAACTTAAAAGAAAAACGAAAAAAGCGTGATTTAAAATATACACGTAACGTAAGCATAATTTTCAGTTAAATCTCACCTTTTCTACTGAATTAATCAAACTGTTATTCAAGTTTACTTTCTGTTTCTTCATAAGTTCGTTCATTTCATTAATGGTTTCCTAAAAAGATGTTGAAAAAACCAGTCATATAGCTATTGTTAAATCATTTCCTAGACCATAAATATTGAAATCTAAAATATAAAACACAGTTACTTAGTTATGTTGTAATTATGTTTTTGTTCTGACAGGCCATCCTCCACATGTACTGTAGACATAATCGTACCCTTGTTCATGTGTACAGAAGCTGTGGTTTCTCATCATGATAAAAGAAATAGTTATGGTAGAAACAGCAGAATAAACAGGCTCTCTTTACGTAGGGAATCTACACCGGTAACGAGTGTCGCCATTATCTTTAAAATCACTCAAGTGTTCAGCGCTCGTTGTTCACAAATACTAAAATTGTGCTTTAAGTTAATTAAAACATTACCCGTATTTGTGCTTATGACAGAAGATTGACTATTTATCGAGTTTTAATAATCACTATAAAATTAGGTAAAGATAATCGAAACCCTGTTTTAGCCTCGTAAGCCTGCAGTTTTACCGCTTAACCACTGGACAACACACTATAAAATAAGGATATCAGTGTTAAGTTTACGCAATCATTCAGTTGCAGAATTATTAGTACCACTAAACTCCAACTGAATGCGTTCATAATTGTAAGGGAAAATATTAGTCTCAAAAAATGATCCAAGTTCTGGACAAAAAACTTTCAAGAAGCCCAACAACGTTTTTTTTTCAGTTATGAGTATGGATTCCATTTTAAGTAAATTTTCAGTAAATCAATTTGAAATAAAATTTACAAAAATAAAAGAATAAAAGGATGTAATACCAATAACATAACATCATACATTAAAGGTTTTATCAATAACCGTTCATACTATGTTCTGCTCCTAGTTCAGTCCAAGTGAATATTAATTAGTGTATATATTTAAAAAAATCCTATTCAAGTAATTGTGAAATTCACAATTTTAATATAAAGGCGAACAAGTTCTTAGCTTCTTGAGCAACATTTGTTGCACACAACAACTTTAGAATAAATTTCCGAGCTTGAAATCTATTTAAATTATTGTATAAAATGTCATATTCACCCTTAATATTCTGAAGGAGGAGGTTGAGGTTTTAACATAGGTATCATTACGTGCCTTTTATAATAGTAATCAAACATCGCGCAAGAGGTGAATGTGAAACACTTGATATCAATTCTTCCCGACGTGGAACACTTGATATCAATTCTTCCCGACGTGGAACACTTGATATCAATTCTTCCCGACGTGGAACACTTGTTATCAATCCTTATCGACGTGGAACACAAATGGATTATCTTTTAGCTATAATTAATTACTCGTTAACAAAGATAATTAAAGAAGTATTTGGAACATAAGTTGCTCGGAGTACGCAAAAATATATCTACAATTGTTGCATAAATATTTGATTGGTTTATCTTAATTAATGAACCCTTTAAGATTAAAGATTACTTGTAAAGAGAAGTAAACGATTATATAACATCTTTATTTTATATATCAGACAATCAAATAAAAAATATTACCTGAAGATGAACACTTTCGTTTTCAAATATTTCAACATGTTTTAGCAGTTCGTCCTGAAATAAATAATACCTTGGTAACGTAAAACTAAGGCATGTCTTCGTTTATAAACGACCATTAAATTAAAACTACCATATCTTGATATTTTTCATCTCACATATCTCTTTTATTGTTTATTGTCAACATGACGTTTCATAAGAGAGCCAAAATGATGCGTTCAACAGAAAACAACAATAAATCAATTATTAGAATTAATTTTTATCGAGCGACCAGAGGCATAATTATAAGCTAATTTTAAATTAATTCAAATATGAATGAAGAAGACATAATTAAGGGGGGAAACGTTATAAAAGTCTATGTTGTTCGTGGCCTGAAATACGATGAAAATTGGTAACTCTTCAGATTATTCTAAGTGACTTCTATAAATAATTTATCGTTGTTTAATAAGCTAAAAATTCGTGTTATAAGTATTCTAGATAGATCTGTAAAGAACAGAAATATATCTAACTAAATAGTTTTTCAATATTTAGGCTGTCTAATTCCAACTACACTGCTTACTTATCCTCAGAAGTTAACTTAAACTGAGGACATTACCGGGAACCTTAGTCCAATATTAAACACGATAACTGCATAGTACAATAGTTGTTGCCATATTAAACGACAATCAGGAAATGACCTAAAACCTTAGTCTTGTATTGAACACAATCGTATTATGTAATACTTACCATATTTAACGAATATCAGAAAATTACCTTAATATCCATAGTCCTTGTATTGAACCCTATAATGTGCAATACCTGTCGTAGTTAAGGAAGATCAGGAAGTTACCTGAAACCTTAGTCCTGTATTTAAACCCTATAACGTACATTGTGCAATAATTGCCATGCTTAACGAAGATCACGAAGATACCCGAAACCCTAGTTCTTTAATGAAGATGGAAGTTTGTGTGGTGTCATGTTGTAAATAGTGCAGAAGATTCCTAAAACTTAACCCTGTAATGATAATGCAAATGATATAATGTTATATACAGTACAAGGATTTCTCTGAAATGTCATATAGTATAGCGCAAAAATATCCCCGAAAGTTAACTCTGTTATGATAATGAAAATGGAATAATATTACAGTACAATAGTTTCTCTAAAAGTTTAACCATAAAATGTCACGTTGTAAGTTGTTAATGAAAATGGTGTACAATGCTATTCACAGTACAGGGTATCCCTAAAAGTGTAACAAGAGATGTCGTGTTGTAAGTAGTACAAGAACTTTATTGAAAGTTAAACCTTTAATGGTAATACAGGGTTGATTACGTTGTATTAAAACCATTTTAAATATGCAAATCAACAAATAAAGTTGCGGTGAAATGGAATTTATGAAAGCTACATTGCGACATTGTATGCGGATCTTAGTTAGTGTGATGTCCCAGTAACAAACAGCAGTTTGCTGTGTTAACACGTTGGTATGAGTCAATTCCTGATAAGATTAAGTACAACCTAAATAAAATTTATGAACATAAGAAGGGAAAGCGAAGTGCAGGAATAGCAAGGTCGTAACAATAAGTAAGACCAATAATTCTGTACCATAACATATAACTCAAGAAAATGTTATAAGTAAGACCATTACATTTGTACCATGACATCTATCCCAAGAAAAGATTATAAGTAAGGTCAATACTTCTGTACTATGACATCTATTCCAACAAAAGGTTGTAAGTAAGACCAATACTTCTGTACCATGACATCTATTTCAACAAAAGGTTATAAGTAAGACCAATTTTTTTATACCATGACATCTAACTCAAGAAAATGTTTATAAATAAGACCAATACTTCTGTACTATGACATTTAACCCATGAAAAGGTTATAAGTAAGACCAATACTTCTGTACCATGACATCTATACCATGAAAAGGTTATAAGTAAAGCCAATAATTCTATACCATGACATCTATTTCAAAAAAAGGTTATAAGTAAAACCAATACTTCTGTACTATGGCATCTATTCCAACAAAAGGTTGTAAGTAAGACCAATACTTCTGTACCATGACATCTATTTCAACAAA